CGACAGTGAGATCAAGAAACCAAGTTTTTTTGGAGCAGATTTCTCACAACGCTCCCCAAAGTTTGAAAAATGCACGCAACTTTTCATAATCTGATCAAGCAGACGGAATATTTTTAAAATCCATAAGAACAAAAGAAACAAACAATTACAGGCCTCCGTCCAGATAATGCTGTCTTCCCATTGTTACCTTTGTTTGTCTTTGCGTTCCTTTTTTCAATCTTTTTGGCTTATGAGAGAAAAGAGAGACGGAATAAAGAAAGAATAACCAGAGTTTGGGGGAAAGTGTCTATACAAGGACTATATCTTCCAGAATCTCTCAGCCATGGTGGCTGGGGGATTCTGGGAGCTGTAGTCCACCCAAAGGCAACTTTCCCAATCTGTGAGAATAGCAACCAAGATCTTTACTCTACAATCTACATTCAAGATTTACACTCATGGAATTATGTATATGCACAACAATGCCTTGTCAATGAATTCCACTGTTGAACAACTTTTATTGTCAGGAAGTTCTTCCTAATATTTAGGTGGAATCTCTTTTCCTCTAATTTGAATCCATTGCTCTGGGTCCTATTCCCTGGAGCATCAGAAAAGAAGATTGCTCCATCCTCAATATGACACCCCTTCAAATACTTAAACAGGGCTATCATATCATCTCTTCTCCAGGCTAAACATTCCCAGCTCCCTAAGCTGCTCCTTACAGGACTTCGTAGTTTCCAGGCCTTTTATCATTTTGGTCTCCCTCCTCTGGACACACTCCAGCTTGTCCACATCCTTCTCGAATTGTGGACACAGACTGGTAATGATACTTCCCACAATCTGGACACTATGCTCCTATTGATGAAGCTTAGGATCATATTGGCTCTTTTAGCTGCTGCAACACAGTGTTGATTCATGTTCAGCTTGTGGTCTACTAAGCTACAATGCAGACTGCCAGAAATAGTGCAAATTGAGTCCACTTTTAGGGTTAGGGTTAGTGCTAAGGAATCATGGGAATTGTTTTTTGTCTGAGACTTTGAGCCTTCTCTGTCAGAGAGCTCTGGTGCCACAATAAAATACAGTTCCCATGATTCCCTAACCCTAACCCTTAAAGTGGACTCAATTTGCACTATTTCTAGCAGTCTGCAAAGGCCCTATGTCTCTTAGATCTTTTTTACTGTTGTCAAGCCAGGTGTCACCCATCCTATATTTGTGCCTAAGTGGAGTACTTTGCAAAAAGTGGGAGGCTTACATTTGCAGGCTAAGGCTACTGTTATAGGGAAAATGTGCCCCCCTTATTTCAAACACAAGTGCTCTGGCTATCTTTGAAAAAGACCCCATAGTAAAGTGGAGAGGGGGAAATATGTCTGTATGCAGACACCTATTGCATATCCCAAGGTTCTTGCAATATTCAAGGCTTCCCCCTTTCCCCCCAAAAAAACCTGTCATAATGAGAAATTTTGCCAGTTGACGATAATGATTCAAACTGGAACTTTGCCATTATACCTTTCTACAGCAATACATCAGAAGAGAGAAGGGCGTTTTTATTCTAATACCCGAGTGACCTTTGCACACCACTAAAGAAGAATTGAGAGCTGGTAAGAAAGCCATTTGCAATAAAGCTGCTGGACTTGTTAATTTTATTTTCCTTGCCTAGCTAGAAATCTCTCTCTCTGTCTCCCCCACGCTCAGGTTTTCTCTTTCCATGTACAGTTCTGTTTGGGAAATCATTATGGAAAGATTGACTTTGGCTAGAAAAAGTAATTTCTCTAACGGGAGACACATACCAGTCTATGAAGAAAATAAACACTGGAGAAAATTAGGAAATGCAATGGCTGAACGCAAGCCAAGTCTATAAGAGGATGGTGTGCATTAAAGGCGGCGGCTTCTAATCTCAGGAGACTGACTGTCCAGATCATTGCAATCCTGGCATTGTCTTCGTTGGCTGAAAGTGTTCAGCTTCTCAGTGCTGCCTTTTCCAACTTTCTTAATATAGTATCCTTCCCTTGAGCCTGGAGAAACTGGAGTGGATCTTCAGATCCAAGTACCAGAAACAATTTTTAATGTTTTCAAACTCTTCGACAAAACTTTTCCAGTTTTAAAAGGGACCCAGTCTATCCCCTTTCTCGTGTGGCATTTGGCATTGAGAAAGAAAACACTAGCAGAGCAAATTGTTTCACTCAGGCTGCATCCGCACTGCCGAAATAATCCGGTTTGACACCTCTTTAATTGCCAAGGCTCAATGCTAGGAGGTTCTGGAAAGTGTTGTGGTGCCAAAACTCATGCATGCCACAGCAAAACTGCCAAAACAATGCAGCCGCTGGTCCATGTAGCCAACTCAGGCCCAAATACTCAATCTAGGAAGGGATTAAGAGGGCGAAAGGGGGGAAACGAGTGAGAAGAGCCCAAGGATTGGAATTGTATCACTGGAATTGTACCATTGCTGTATCACAGTAAGTACAGTTCGACCACTGTTTGGCCTAAATCCTGCCCTTAGTCCGAACTAGAACAGACCCATTGGAACCAATGGAATTTACCTGAATGTTGACTATGGTCCCCTTGATCTTAGGGAGGTCTTGCGTCCCAAGCCCTCTGCAATCTTCACCAGTCCTCAGGGCAAGGAGAGAGGACTGCTGTGGAAAGTGTGCCTACAAATATGTCCTTCATTTGTTAGCCCTGGTGTTTTTTATTTGAAAGACATACTCTGTGAAAGCGTGGTTGAAGGTTCAATCATGCTGCTTAATGCCATCACCAGGGGCTGCTCCTTTCAACATCACTAAGCAACATTGCAAGGGGTCAGCCCTAGATTTGGCTCTGAAATTTGACTTGGTAACCCCCATGTTGACTCTCTACTCAACAAGATCTAGTTGGGATTAATCAATAGGATTTAGGTCTTTCAACTGGTAGACTTCCATGGACAGATCATCTACAGCAGCACCGGTCCCGGAGCTGTTAGCTGCCAGTCCATAGCAAGTGTCTACACCAATGGTTCCCAAACTTTAGTCCTCCAGGTGCCCTAGTCAATTTGGCCAACAATCAGGAATTCTGGGAGCTGAAATCCAAAACATCTGGAGGACCGAAGTTTGGGAACCACTATGGAAATAATGCAGCTCAACACCACTTTAAGTGCCATAGCTCCATTCTATGGAATCCTGGAATTTGTAGTTTTACAGGGTCTTTTGCCTTCCCTGCCACAATATGCGGGTGCCTCACAAAACCACAAACCAGGATGGAGTCATGGCAGTTAAAGCGGTGTCAAACAGCATTACTTCTACAGGGTAGGTGCATCCCAGAACAGAAAGAACCAACAGTAGCCAATGGGCATAAATATGGCACCAGTCCCTGGCATGTTGGAAAATAAATAATCGCTGGTCTCCCACGTCAGATAGCTTGAGATGTATGTTCTACAGCTCCAAACCATTATTGTTGTTACTTGCAAAAGACAAGCATTTCTGACTCTCTCCCTGGAGTATTTGGGGCTATTCTTTTCTACACCTCCGTCAATTGGAAGCAATTCTAGCCCCGATCTGTATCCCAGACGAGACTTTTAGAAAGAAAGGCACTTCCACGGAAGGGCAAGGAAAGCTGCTCTTTGCAGAGAAAGGACATTTATTTCCCCCTCCCCTTCATCCCATCAAAGAGTTGAGGTCCGCATTTCATTATCATAAAAAGCCCCTTACCCGAGAGTGAGTAATCGGTGTTTGTCATCCGCATGGCTGGAGTGTACGAGACGCTTGGCATGTCATGGCCCTTCTTCTGCTTCCGTCGATACCACACAAACAGTGCCAGCAAAACCATAATAATTAGCAGGAGGATAATAATTCCAATGATTGCTCCCACTGAATGCCTCTCAGATCCAAGAGCCGGACTAATTTTAGTATAGGGATTTAATTCTTCCATCATGAGAGCCGCTGTTAAAAATAATTCACAATGTACCGTTAAATTGAGTGGCAGAACCCATTCGGCTGGAAAAGGGCTTTGTATTATAGATCTCTGCCCCACTTTCCCTCCCTTCCTTTCCCCTTTCGTTCTTTTGAAAGGCACTAGTTATGCTACAGATGTTGGATTGGAAACAGTTGCTAGCCCAGAGGAATGACCTTGCAGCCTACCGGTTACAGCCAGAGATCTTTTCTTATTAAAGTGGGGTTTGGCAAACACAAAGACCGTTCTCACCTTCAAGGATTTCCCCATTCCTTCCAATGGAAGGAGGTGGCAGCATAGCAGAAGTAGGAACTGGGGTCCCAATATTGTTGGGAGGGCAAATCCCAGCATTCCTCACTTATGTTGGCCAGGACTGATGGAAGCTGTCATCCAAAACCAGCCATGTTAAATCCTCATGTTTCTAGCTCTCATGAGGGTACAGCAAACCTGGGGAAGTCATCAAACCCCTTTACTTTCCCTCTTTCTACAGCTACAAATCCTTTCTCATATGTAAGTGATATGTATTCAGGTCACCCAGGGAAGTCTTTTTAGCTCTTCTGGAAGGCTGCCCAAAGAAATGTTTGAACACTCAGTTTGAAAAGAAAGGGAGAAGGAATTTGCCTCACCTTGGTCACACCGGATTCCCTTGAAACCTGGGCTGCAGTAACAAGTACCTGTAACATAGTCACAGGTTGCGTTGTTCATGCATTCGCACAGCTGCTGGCAACCATAGCCGAACGTTCCCGGAGGACACTCTGTGAAAAATTCAAAGAAAAGAAAAAGTGGCTGGAAAACTTTGACAAAGACAGTCAGTTTCTTAACAGAGGACTTTTAGACATTTCAGAAGGGAAGGCAGGCAGCTCTGAAGAAAATAAAGGATCGGTTAAGACGCCAGCGGAAGGACACTGGGGAAATCCTGCAATCCTGTTATTATGTTCTGGCTGGGAGATGCCATTTGTAAGCCTTGTCAGTTTCTCAGGTTGCAATTTCATCGCAGTAATATTTCTTAATTTTCTAAACCAAGAGACTGCCAATACTGTCACTTTCCATCACCAGAAACAGGTCCTAGTCCCTTAATGATCTTTGCAATCCTTTGCTGAAGAGCCAACATGGCATAGTGGTTTGAGCGTTGGAGTACAACTCCAGAGACCAGGGGTCAAATCCCTGCTTGGCCATAAAACCCACTGGGTGACCTTGAGCAAGTCACACTCTCTCAGCCTCAAAGGATGGCAATGGTAAAGCCTCTCTGAAGAAACAAGAAAACCCTATGATGGGGTTGCCATAAGTCAAAACTGACTTGGCAGCCCACAACAACAAGAAGAACAACTAAATGGCTCAAAGCTTTGCAACCACAGTCAGGTAAGGATTCAGAAACAGGGAAATTGGAAGAAAATATGGCCAGGCCATCCCTCAAGCAACAAAAATAACTTTTAATTCTAAAGTTGCATTAGTATCTTTTCTCCTGTAGAATGACAACATTGGGGTTTCCTGCATTTCTGCCACAGAGAAATGATTGAACGTCCAGTGACAAAAAAATTTATTCATTCAATTACCATGATGGTCTAGGACAATAAATCTTCGGGCGGCTCACGATAGATCTTTGGGCAACGTTTAGTAACAAAGAGAAAGGAAAGCCGTAAACTGGTCTGGTGCCTTTGGTGAGGGAGGAAGATTCTGTCTGTGGTGTGCAAGAAGCAAATGGTTGCATTGGTTCCTTCCTCCTATCTTTCAATGCAACTCAGCCTAGGTGTCACCTGGTGCATTTTGCACTCCTTGCACTCCCCTAATGACGCACCTGCTTAAAGCTCTTACTCTTTTAAATATCTAAGCCTTTTAAAATGCTTTAAAAAAGCATTCCAAAGCTGGGAAATCACCAATGATGGTGTCCTGGAGAAGGTGGAACGCTCATCTGGAGAACAGCCCAGAAGCTTAAGTGGGGAAGCTAGAGGAACTGGATTAAGTCCCAGACCCCCGGTGTTTCCAACCAATGGGGACTGGTAGTTTTCGTATCAGCAGGGTGGGGGAATGTGCTCCAATGTGACTCCTTTTTAAAGGGGCTATCCAGAATGCTGAGTTCTATCTGCAAAGAGGCTCAGCCCCTAGGAGAGCACCCTTAAACCCATTAAGAGATACACCACTCCACTGAGAGGGACCCTAATAGCAGTCTCTGTCCCTGAGGTCTGGTCCAAAATACATATTTTAACAGGTGCTCAGCAATGCTGATCTTTGACTCTGGCCCAGATCACTGGTGAGGAGAATTACTCTTTCCTCGCTGGAGCAGCCAAGTGTAGTAAAGCAGTGGTCCCCAACCCCCGGTCCACAGCCCGGTACCGGTCCGCAGAACAAATGATACCGGGCCGCGGACTGGGGGTTGGGGACCACTGATCTGTTTTGATTTAATAATCAGTGCGATGCAGCAAACCCCTCCCAGTGGGCCACGGAAAAATTATCAAACGTTGACTGGTCCACGGCAATAAAAAGGTTGGGGACCACTGTAGTAAAGGACAGTGGAACAGCCCTGGCAAGCCTCCATCTGTTTCTGTGGGAGAAGATGCTCCTGGGCTTTCACAGGGATGTTCCATCAGCAAAAGACAGAGAGGTATGCTTTGCAACCAGACAGGGCAATCCTCGGCCTGAAAGGCATAAGCCAGTTGCAGATCCCAAGAGAACCTAGAAAAACTTCCTTCTCCTCAATGGACACAGCAAAAGAAAGTGGGAAATTCGTTGATTCCCCTTAGGAAGCCTGGGGGACTGTCTTTAGCAACTTACTTTGCTCACACTGTTTTCCTGTAAACCCAGTTCTGCAGGTGCATTGTCCTGTAATGTGGTCGCAATCCGCCCCATTTTGGCACTGGCAGACGTTGGCACAGTTTTTCCCATAGAAAGCAGGTGGGCATCCTGGGAGGGCAGGAATTATAGAAAGACAGAAGGAAATTGAATGTGAGGATCTGGCATAAAGATTTAGTGAGGCATGAAGTTCAGTGGGTGACTCTGATCCAATTGCTCAGGGTTGCTTTTATGT